GCTTTGAGCTGTTGATTTAATGGTGCACGCAACTTCTCACGACTGATATCTTTAACGCCTATCCGCACCATGGCATCTAATAACGAACAGATTGTTTGTAATAATTCGCTAATTTCGGCCTGATTATCTTGCTTGTGCAGTTCTTCTAGACGTTCTAGTAATATTTTTAATATTGCCACTAATTTCCGGTACTAACTTCTCCAAGAATTAAGTTGGGCATGTTTTGAATTACTTAAGTAAAATAAATATTCAGAATGTTTCAATGTCGTGTTGTTAATAGTTTGAATACTCTGCTCTAACAATTCTTTGTGAATTATTTTATTGGGTATAGATGACAATGCAACGATTTAATGAATCATCCCTTTTGTTTTAACTCTCCTCTGAACAAATAATTCAATAGTCTCTGGTGCTAATTCTGTTAGTTGCGACTGCTGTTCCTGGTTGTGATTGTTAGGTTGCAGATAATAGACCAAATCCTGAGTGCTATGAATGCCATCTATCTTCGAATGTGGCTCGGGTGTTACTGGGGATCTTGGATAAAAAACACTAATTTTGGTGAAAAGTTTGGCGCCGTTGTCTCTATCAAGGAGTTCGCCCATACTTTTGAGCTTCTTTATAGCAATCATCCGCCTTATCCACTTCTCCCAAACTTTGGTAGACGTCATCACATCCTAAATACGCTTCGGCTAAGCGTCTTTCTACGTCATGAAATAGGGAGGAGCCTTGAGTCTTAAATTCTTCAATTGCTTTGTTGATATGCATCTAATGCTTCCTTTAGATGACCACCGGATTTTTTATTTATAGCATTTTCTAAATGGGTCTTACCCTTTTTGTAATGTTTGCTGAACATATCTTATTTTAATCTCAACAACTGAGCCGACACGCATTTTTCTGTAATTATATACAGTATACATACATATATTTGCATAAAAGGATATTACAGGAACAATATGTATCACCATGAAATTTATGCACTTATAATAATCTAGATAAATGAAATGTCAGATCAAGAAGCAGCTTACCTAAACTTATCCGACATACTGTAAGTGGCACTAGTGTTCACCTTTTGCATTTAAGAAAAATTTCAGATATATGACGTTTTGGAATCGATATAAATGTACGTGTGTAATGATCTAAATAATGGATCTAATGAGCACTTGGGTTGAAATGGCTGGCCAAAAAAATTTTTTTATCAAAATAGTTATCAGGCATACAGTATATGTTGCGTATTATAAATGAATAAAATCTTTTTATACCGTATCAGATTTTTATACTGTATACAGTATATATTGTACATGTTTTTTTATTGATAAATCAATATTAAAGTATTTATAGTATTTTATCTATAAATTATTTTAAAAATAATTTAGAATGATATCTACGTATAAACAATAATATTATATTAAATGAACAAATAAATATTATTATAATCTTTATTACATTTAAGTAAAAATGTCAAGATAAAATATTATTTGTATTATTTGTAACCAATATTATTTTATCATGTGACATTTTATATTAATGATGTTTTTATTTCTGAAATTATATTTACACTGTATATATAAATCATTACATAAAATCTTGATGAGTTATATTAAAATATTACAATGTAGAAAAATGTTTAAAAGTTTAAAAAAATAATATTTCATGGTTTTTTTTTTTTTTTTTTATATTGATATATTATTATAGCTTTTAATAAAATTTAAAAAATTGATGGTTTGTATTTTACTGATATATACAGTGTTAATTAAAATTATTTAAAAATAATTTATTATAATTTATTTACTAATAAAACAAAATAAGTTAACAGTAAAAGGAAAATGATAAAAAAGAATTTAATATATAGTTATTGATTAATAGTAATTTTTATTTTATTTTTTCGAAAAAAAATTCTCTTTTCTTGATTCTGAAAAAAATTTGTAAGACAGTAGCTTTGGCAATGATTATTTTTTAACAAATAATTTAAATATAAATCTTAATATAGATTAATATTTCTAAATTATTAATATTAAATTATTCGAATTTTTATTATTGTTAATAATTTTGTTTAGATTGAAATATAAAAAAAAATCATTTTTTATTTGAAAAATCAAAAGGTATCTACAGTATATACCGTATCATAATTTTAATACTTTCTTTATAAATTAAAAATTGTTAGTTAATTTAAGTTCCCAAAAATTGGGTTACCACTGTACAGTATGAAAATTTTTTTAAATGACTGATGTTAATATTTAGTATTTACTCCTCGGATGCCTTAACCGAATGAATAAATCAAGCTTGCTGAAATTTGGGAACTCTCATTCTATTTCTCACACATTTCATTTAGTTTCCTTCTCTGATAATTTCTGTAGGATCTTAAAATCCACTTGGACCACATGCGAGATGTAAACACCACAAACATCACGCTTGAACTGATGCCTGTCACCAACCAGAAATAACTATGAAAGAATGAATGAGAATTTGTAAGCGTGTAGCAGAGGTTATAACTATATCGAATGTTGAAATTGATACATGCCTTAATGGCAATTTTAGTTCCGGAAAATCCACAAAATTCATTCCAAAGACTAATTGGAAGAAAAAAAAAGCTTTCGTTAAATTTCAAATATCTTTTAACGTTATCAAAAAAATTTGAAATAATATTCACATCCTGCAATGAACGTCATTGGCAAAAAAACGATAGATATGACGGCAATAATGGCCATATTTTGATTTGTCTAAATAGAAAGAAGAATAGAATATATATATAAATCTTTTTCCGATAAACGGGTCATAATCGCGGATTCACTCACATCATAGGCGATAAGATTGAAAACCTGGAATTAATCATTGTTAATAATAATAATAATTTATTGATATCAATTCAAAAAAATATAACATATACCAGGTTCACCAAATTTTCGGTAATTTTAAACATTGCTTCTAAATTATCTTCAATGTCAATACAGTGATCCTAATTTTTGGACGGAAAGTACATGGTTATATTAAAATATTTAAACTAATATAAGTAATAAATAAAAATCAAATTGGTGAAATGCAAACCGAAACGTCACTGAAATAAACTTTGGCCGCTTCCGATAGAAGAGATTTGTCGCCGTGCTTCGTTAGAACGGATACGAGCCCTTTAACAGGTGCCAATGTCTTCTTAAGGAGTGCCAATTCTCCAGAAATCATGTGAAGTTCTTTTTTTTTTTTAAAAAAAAAAAAAAATCATATTTTCCGTTATTCGTGAAAGTCATGTAAAACGAATATTGAATCACTTGATTACCACGCATATAATCTATCTTTGGTTGAATCAACAGTTTGCCTTCTAGTTCTGCTATTTGATGTCGGTAGGAGTCAATTATAGGAAGAGCCCTTTAATAATAAATATACAGTAAATGTCATAATTATTGAATAGAATTATTCGGAGTGTAAGAAATGAGCCGTTTGACAATTACAAATCAACGATCGCATCAATAACAGCCTCCATCAGCAGACTTGCATCCTGCGAGGTTCGCAGTATTGTTTTCGGATGGTCAATTCGCGATAAAATTGGGTTGTATACGAGTTTTCCGCTATGCTGAAATATGGTTATCAGCGTGCCTTTATCATATATAAGAGTTAGGTTAAAAGGTTTCTATATAAAAACGCATATCGCAGGCCCTTACCATCATTGCGTAAAATGATGTTAACTTGTTCTACGGCAACGGAAAGTTTCATCTTGCGTAATTCTTTGTGAGCCTCTAGATATCTGCTTCCCTCGCGATGTCCATGTTGTAGCAAGTTTATACGTGAGTGTGCACGTAATATTGATCTTCGACGAAAATTATTAGATTCAAAGATCATGGAATCCTTTCCCGAATTTCTTAAATCATCCATTTCATCGAGAATATGGAGTAATAATGATACATAGATGTGGTTATGGTACGGATCCATTTTTACGCCTACAAAGAAGTAACGGGGTAACGTTATTTTGCACGCATTAAAAAAAAAAATAATAAGAAATCTTTGGGATTCTTTACGCTGAGAGCCTTGCATGATGTCTTCAACACTTAAGGGATGCAGATCGTAGTGGATCGCAAGAACTTTTATAACGTCCCAAGAGATCCCATCCACATTAATCCATCGTACTTTGCTATCTTTCGGTCTCTAAAAAACAAATTCAAAAAATCGCATCTAGACAAATTAATTCATCCAAAAGATCAATATATAAAAATTTCTTATACCTCTTGCCTGAGAAATTCGGACAGAGTTCCATTCGTTAATTCGGTTTTCGATTGACCCTCTGCAAATGGAAAATTGCGTGAGTGGATATTCCAAAATTTTGCCTCAAGTTACCGGCTTACCTTCACTATAATCCGAGCAGAAAATTTGGCAACTTGTCTTTTTTTTTTTGATTTTATAAGTTTCATTAAACATTCAAAGATTTTTCACATTTATAGACGATCAAAGGAAAAAAACCTTACATAAATGTTAGAATCCGCAGTGTATGCATCAATCCCTGGATCTTGCCCGGCCGACCAAATGTTTTCAGCTTTATATTCAGACAATGGATCATATTAAAAATAATTTATTGATAATAATTAAATAAAACAATCCATTCATCGATGTGATTTACCTGTTAATATTCGATTAAGGCTGATGACTCTTTTCGCCACCTTTTGAAATCTTCCTTTTCCCGTGCTGCCCTCCCTAGAGTCTGATAATTATCGTCAACTTTCTGAACTTGAAAACAATGAAAGACTCATCCATCCTACCACTGGCTTCTTCAGAAGTTTCATCGTAATTATCCAGCGAAGGCTGTGGATCATGAATTTCCACAATCTCCGTTTGTTCGTTGTCCATTATTATCCACGATTTATTCTATGATTCAGAGAAATAACCAAGAACAATAAATATTTTTTTGACACGAGTCACCGATGTCACATATACATAACAAATGGCTGGCCATCATTACTAACCCATAATTACTATAATCCGACTTTAAGACTGAGGGCGCAAATAAAATGCTGCCATTGTACTTGCTAAATTAGATTTTTCAGTACGTCTAATTAAATTCGACCTAATTGGGCCACAACAAGCATTTAATAATGTCACACCAAGTACCAAAGAAAATTAGTGTAAACGCTCGATACATAAATAAGATGCTATTTGTACTAAGGAACCGAAAACTTGTTTTAGAACCCGAACCAAACGATTCGAAATAAGTTTAAATCAAATTGGTTTGATCCTTGCTCATAACAGGTTATTTAAATGCAGAGTTCGTAAACATTTGCCCATCAAACGACGATTTTTGAATTTGATCTTCTTGGCACTTGAATGATGTAATACGATAAGAAAAGGATGGCTTTATTTTGATTCAAAAAAAGACATATTAACAATCTTCTTGTTAAATATTTGTTTTTACTATTTTTATATATAGAAAACATCATCCGTGATACTCATGCCCTGAATATCATTGGGAAAAGGTCATTCTTTATCGTTTAAGATTTTCAAGGTATATGTTAAGCTAACGCTAAAAAAAAAGTAAAAAAAAAAAAAACAATACATTGTACATTTTAAAAAACAATAATTAAAATTTTTCAAATCGATTTTTTTATGTTTATACAAATTTATGCGTTTATTACTACAATTATTTTTAATAATTTATGTATATTATTTACAAGTATTTTTTTTTCTTTCCACTGTGACCATAAGAAAAAAAAAAATAATAATAGAAAAATAAATTTTATTAAGGAATCTATATATGTTGTGAAATTAAATTTATATAATTAACATTACTCATGTTAATATTCTAATCATGATTTCTCATTTAATATCAAATATTGTACACAAACATATATTAGTTCAAATACTAATACAAAGAAAAAACAATGATAAAATACAAGGGTAAGGTATTACAGATGATACATTACACACTTCACGAAATTCATAATTTTTTTGTTTTGATAACCAAAAATCTTATTTAGGTGCATCAACGGATTTCTTGGATTGAATAACTAGAATACTTGAAGCAACCTCACCGACTAAGAAAGACACGGCGACGTCACCTAATGATTTACGAGTATCCCCACCAAACGATATACCTATGTTCTTGATCACTTCCAAAAATTCACCTCTATGATTTACTGCTGCTTCTTGCCTTCCGCGTCCTAAAACAACCAAATCTTTCGTACCAACCACATTCTTTGCACGTTCAACTGCAGTTTGCAGTGGTGTGGCAGAGATGACTTCAGCGAATTGAGCATGCGTATGTTTCGTCGATTGCAATTTCAAATATTGCGCCAACAACGCTTTATCGGCTGCATGAGATTCATCAAGTGCACTTGAATGAAGGACATGTGCGGATGCCGTTGAAACTCTGTGTGGGAGCGAGGGTCGTTGATCGCCTTCTTCAACAGTAATCGCGGGTGACTCAACTTCTTTCAAAGTTGAAGGTTGAAGGATCACATCATCATGAGTGGGCACCAAAGATCTTGTTATTTTCAATACACTGACCGTAATATGAGGGTTATCCAGTAATCGAATAACAAACGAAAGCGCTTCGCGGTCATCAGAACCGCCAAAGAAGGGCAAAAATATATGAATGTCCAAAGCTCCATGTTCACTAGACACCCCAAGACCGCGATCAATGAATACGGCCATAGGTGAAACATTTAATAGATGATGGAACGACTCCTGGATAAAGTGAGCATGTTGTGGGCTCGTTTCTTTCAATTGCCGTGGTCCTAAAACATCTTCCAGTGGATCCGCGGGATTATCAACAATTGCACCAGCACCACCCCATGGTATTACGACCATGTTGCAATCATTCTCTCTTGCATTTTCTAAAACTTGCTGATGAAATTCGTGTCGCGCAGTCACGGCCAAATTGGCTTTGACCTTTACAAGATTCAATCGTCCAAATGCGCGGAAAACGTTCATTATTGGATCATGCAAAATCGTCTCTTCCGTTTCATTGAATTTCATGACTGCCGAAATACGCTGTGTCAATTGGACGAGGCGCAAAACGTGCACTACTCCTTGAGATGAATTTCTACGAATTTCGATCTGATTTTCGGGTTGTTTTTCTGATTTTTCGGAATTCAAAGAATCGAGGACGAATTGAGATTGTAATATCTGAACGAGGGTCATCATTGCCGGGAGATCTTCAACTTTGTTAACGACGACCATCAATTTTTTTTTCTCTGAGAAAGTCACAGCGTCGTCTCCTTTGTGAGAACCATCAATTTGACTTTGTCCTTGCTCACTGTCACGAGCTTTAGCGCGCCGAATCTCCATCTTTTTTTGATATTCATAAGGATATACATAGGTTGCAAGGGGAGTTGTCAAGAATGTCGTTATGAGAGCCCTGTATAAAATGATATTTTATTATTAATTGTTTTTTATTTATTTTCTTGTACGAAATTATTAAATAAAAGCAAATAAATACCCACATGACAACCATGATCACAAAAACCTTAGGATTAAGAATTTTGGCTTCATACCCAATATTGAGAACGATCAATTCAACAAGTCTATTAAATAGAGGAGATATATTCGTTATTCTCACTTCGTTTTACTCTCTATAAAAAATCAAATCAATACGTTACCCTTTACAACTCATAAAAATACCAATAGTGAGGGATTCCCTCCATTCTAACTTGTTTAACCTAGCGGCCAACGCGCAACCAGTTATTTTTCCGAACATGGCGATCACGATCACTAAAATTACGAAACCCCAAGATGTTGCGTCATTAAGAAGACCGATTTCAGTTCTCAGTCCAGACAATGTAAAATACTGAAAAAAACATTGAAATTGTGAAAATTTATCAAAAACAAAAGTTTATAAAATTTAGCCTGAAAAGATACTTACGATTGGTAAAAGCAGGACACTAATTAGGTCTTCGATTTTTTCGGTAATACCAACTGCAAACCCACCCTCGTGGGGTATAATGACTCCAATTATGAAGCCACCGAATATTGAGTGGATTCCAATGATGTCCGTATAGAATGCGGAGATTAAAACAAGGCACAATGTAATGGCCATCATGATCATGGTGGGTCCATTTTCACTACCCGTTCTGACGATAAGTTTTAACAGTATGGGACGTATGATAAATATGGCGACTCCTACCCAAGCGATTGCAAGTAATAACACGTATAACGCATTAAGATTATTTGATGAATTAATGATGGAAACCACCAAGGCAAGCAGTATCCACGCAGCTACGTCATCACCAACACCGGCAGTAAGAGCGGTAAATCCTACTGGAGTGCGTAAAAGTCGAAGTTCTGATAAAATTCGCGCAAGTACGGGAAAAGCCTGTCCATTAAAGAATGTGAGTAATTAAATTGTTATATTATCATATGAGACGTAATGAAAAATAATAACAATACCGTGATAGACATAGCCACTCCGATGAAAAGCAAAAAACTGGTGAACGACACCCCGTCATTATTTAAACTTTTGTACATTCCATAACCAACGCCGATACCAAGAATAAATGGAAATGCGATTCCAGCAGCAGAAATTGTCAAGGCGACCCTCACGTTCTTTAACAAAAGTCTTGGATTTAATTCAACACCGATAATAAACAAATAAAGAACCAAACCCAAATTTGCAAGTAGGTTTAAATTAGGCATTGATTCGACAGGAAAGAGTGTGGCCTCAAATCCCGGAATGCGTCCCAACACCGACGGACCGAGTACGATGCCACCAATAACCTCCGCGATGACGCGTGGCTGACGAAACCACATGAGTGCCAGATAAATGGCGCGCGTAACTACAATAATGCTTATAACCTTTTCAAAAGGTCATTGAAAAAGTTTTTTTTTTTTTTTAGTACGCGCGTCTATTTATTCTGTTACTTCGGAAGAACGAATCTACCTGTACTATGAACAATACTATGGGATCATTTTTATTATAAGTCATTGGGTTATGCCCAGAAAGGATCCCTGATTGTTCTTGGGCGACCATTTTTCATAAACCGTTCCTTAAAATCACAAATTGGGAAGGGTTGAAAATTTTGCATGTTGCGTTGGTTCAGCTTTTATATAAAATGCAATGCTGCGCTGCCTTTGAAATTAGGCCCCTTATTACACTATTACACAAATAACGCCCAAAAGTCTAGAAAACCTATTTCCATGGGAAATTTTTTTTTCAATGTCCAAATATAGAATGATGTTTTTGATTTCAGATTACATTCAACTAAAAATGGTTGTTTCACAAAAACTACATCTTAATAAATTTAAATAACGTATGGTTACATTAAAAATATCAATGTCACAATTATGTGTAGATCAAGAAGATCACGTATTCCGAATGAAGAAAATCAATAAAGATAAATAATTAAACTTGTTTTTTCACCAGTTTCATCCATATAAATAAATAATATGTCAATATTATACAGTGGAATTCATTCTTGTAATATAATATTTATACAGGATATAATTAATATTATTGTATTTTTTTTTACAATCCAAAATTAGTTTTTGAACTTTTTTTAAAATTTTATTTTTATTTACAATTTTATAAATATTTAATTTTTTTTTTTCTAATCAAACTGCTATAATGTGTTTATTTAATCTATTTGAAAACAATAGTATAATATATAATATAATACTATACTAAAGATAAACTATTCTCTGTAACAAAATATTTATCAAAAAGTTATTTTTGGATTTATATATAATTCTTGAATTCTTAATATCAAGATTATTATATTGTTCATATAATATAGCTATTCATTAACTATTTCATTACAAGGAAATAAATTCATTAAGCTATTATTATATAATATTAATTATCTTGAACTTTTCAAATTTTAATTCTTTAGATATAATTATAGGGAATGATAAAATTATTTTTTTTCAAAGTTAGATATCAAAATCTTAACTTAAAGAAATTATTACCAGTTTACATTTAGATTGTCACCCCAATACAATCTTGTAGTCCTAAGAGATAAAAAATTTTTATTTTTATTTTTATTTTTTTTTTTTTTGCAAATAGGTATTAAATACGAAACCTTTATTAAATTTATGTTTGTCAATTATTATATTAACAATCTTTATATATAGTATAAATTAATTGTAGCCTATTGTGATTTTATATAATCCAACTATGCGAACTATATACCTTGAAGGGGATTCACATATTGGATAGGATTATATAAGAGATAAAAATCTTGCCATCAGTTTTAAACCACCTAACCTATTAATCCATTTTTGTTGAGAACATCTGATAGGAACATATGTTAGTACTCGGTAAACCATCTTTTCACATCACGTTTTCAGCTTATGCAACTGTGAATGGAGTTCAGCATATGTATATACTTCCTAGTAAATGTTCCAAAAACTGCAATCCTTAATTAACACAAGCTGCCAAATCTAGGGATATTATTGCCAAGTGGAATACAATACCATAAATCTCCTAGTAAACACTTCAAGGGAATTCGGTTGGCTTAAGCTACCAAATCTAGAGACATAAATACCAAGCAGGGCGCAACTCTTATATATGAATAATGTTAAACTGATCACTTATATCACACGTTAGTGTCCATATTAACAATCTTCCTCCAAGATTCTTTACTTTGTATTAACATGTTGTGCTATGGAGTCTGCCATGCCAGGGGAGATGTGGGCTTATTATCGGAGTTAAACCAGAAGCCTTTCTTTATGCAACCTTTCCTGCTTTGATTTGTTTTCAGCCTGCGATCGTTAAAAAGATCAAAGGTTCCATCTTCATACAGTTTAACTAAATTTAGATAAGATTCGAATGATTGGGTATAATATCTGTAAGGAAACCGATAAACCCACAAATGAAGGATAAAAAAAAAAAAAAAAGTTTATGTTGATAAATAAAAACTTATCCAAATCAATTACCAGTTTAATAAGAATCTTCTTTAATCTTGAAGAAAAAAGAAATTGACATAAGATAAGAAAAAAATAATTTCAAATCACTTCTAATAAAAGAATATCTTAATACTTTATTTTTTTACTATAACAATTTAAATTTTTAATTTGTCATATGACTTTGGATATATGTCATGATCATCAAAGGTACCAATCATTTCAAATTATATGAGTTTTACAAGGATAAATAGTATTACTAATAGCATTTATCTTAATATTACCATATATAATTAATAAGGGATTAAGGATATACTTATTTGGTATATAAGGGGTTTTATTTACTATTTCTTTTCTATTTATTTTATTATATTTATATTTATTATATCATTATACATATGTTTTCTGAAAAGTTAAGTCTTATATAGATATATGTATAATATCTTATATATTTTTATTTTATTTATTTATTTATTATTTTTTTTTTCCATAGTCAAACAAGCACATATTGTTTATTAAATCTTTTCAGAAAACAAATAATATATGATATATTGTATTGCATAAACTATTCTATTGCCTTGAACACCCGTCTTAGACAAATGTCTCTAGGTATGACTTTGGAGATAAAAAAGGTTGCTCTCTTTTCTATTTATCCACCTATGGAGTTTGATATTAAAGGTCATCGCCTGCAGTTCATTACTACAGATTTTATTTATTTATTTGAAAAAGGTTATAACATTAAAAATATATTTAAAAATATTCTTTTGATCTTTAATAAAGCAACTAATAATTTTACAATTATAAAATTATCTTGTTTATATCTAAAAGTTTTTAATAAAAGGATTTTATTCTTACTTTTATATCTGATAATAGTAATTGTTTTATCATTATATACCTTTTTCATACTTTTCAAGATTTACACACATATATCCTAAGGGAAACTCTGTCACTTTATTTGCAAAATGTCTGAAAACACTGATATCATCCTTACAATGACTTCAACTATTACCTTATAGGATCTTATCAATACTATAGAAATATTTATTGCTGTGATAGGGACTAACAATAATAATAATATTGGATCTAACAAACTTTTTGTTTATATTCCTAAGTATAGTAGTGAGCCTGAAAAAAATATGATCACTTAATTACTACAGCTTACTGCTCTTTTTATGATATAAGAAGTGAATAATGTTGTCCAACAAATTTTCTATACATCTACTGGAATGAAGGGAGCTATTTTATATTGGTTTACAAATGTTATTGTTGCTAATGGAAATAATATATCATATGCTAACTAAAATATATTTCAAACTGTCATCAAGGCTACCTTCTTACCACTTAACCATTAACAAATTTTGCAACAACAATTGTGAAATTTGTAATAAACTGAATCTGTTTTAAAATATACTTTACAATTTCAAGATATAGTGGAACAAATCATAGGAATGGATTCTTTTAATTAAACAACTTATTATATCGAAGATTTCATACCTGTAACAAAAATAAAGATTCCCTATCAAGCTTTTGCCAACTTGACAGAAGCTATTGCGTATGCCACCAGATTTGACAATACCTTGTTTGGGATGGCAAGACTAGGACACATACAAAATTTTTCATATAAATCATATTAACAATGAATATAGCAAAACTATTTAACACCAATGGAATTGGACTATATTGAATAATCGCAATAACATAAACACAAGGGAAATTGAAAAAAACAATAACTGCAACAAAAGAAAAACTGCCACTACTATGAAAAGCCTGGGTATTGAAAAAGAGAATATACTAATAAGAAAAAAGAAAAATTAATAATATTAAAGAAACTAATATACATACATATACATAACTGTCACTGAACTATAATAACAATTTGGAATTGATAAATACTAAGGATAACAAGGAACAACTACTTCATGTTAATAGACAAATTAATAAAAAGCCTGCTTGAATCTTACTTGACTCTAAAGCTTTTAAGAATTTATAGATGAAGGATTTGTCAAATGTTACTGACTTATTACCCAGGAGAATAAACTTGTCACTATCAAACTTGCGGATGAGCACTAACAGAAAACAAACAAGATTGTCACCATCAAGAATCTGAGAATGGGTATAAAGTCCTAAATAAATTGTTAATAATTTAAAAAAGACAGTGAACTTAAATGATTGTAATTTTATATCAACAGAGTTAGAACTTTATTAAAGTCAAAAAGACATCCTTTTATACATATTGGCTTCATACAAATATAAAAATACATAAATAAATAATATAAAAATATATATATTTATATTGAGCTTAACCTCCGAAAAAATATATATTTAATTAATATAATGAAATAAAAAAGTAAATAAAAGAAATAAAAAGGAAAAAGATAGATACACTTTATAGCCTTATGTAAAGATGGGTTCTTAAAGTATTTAGCATATAAAATTTACATCTCTTTACGTCCACGTCTCCTAGAGGACATAATTCCTAGCTCTTTATTTCAATAGGGACATAATTTCAGAAATGATTTATATAGATGCTTAAAAC